GTGTGTTACAGCCAAATTTTCTCGAGATTTCCTTGTTGTAAGTTTTGATATTAACATTATAACCCGATACCAGCTTCAACATAAAAGTTTGATGAGTGAAATTTGGTTTAGACTCCATGCACTTCTAATTGTTTGTATAATTACATATTGTAACTACATTTATAATTATATACGAGATTCCTCATCCATTTTCCTCGTTCCTTATGTTTTCGTCAATTGAGGTTTCTTACATTTTGTTTCTTTTGTATGTGTTTTAGGCTATCCATTTCACAAGTCCAAGGTATTTTTCCTCCTACATCATTACTGCTATTGCTCTACTGTGAATCATCCTCTTATTTACCACATGGGATTTTTAACCTTCATGGTTAAGCATTTGTTTAAATATATAAAACGTAATTTATTCAAATATATAAAGGTTTTCATTATAAATACAAATATGTTGTACTTTACAGATCTCGTAAAGAGCATGTAATTGTCTTCCTTGATGTTTTATTATGTCAAACATTCACCAAATCGGACTACTAACAGAGAGTCTAGCATGCTGTAGCCGACACTTCTTTAACTCCACATACTTGAAAGATATTAAACCAAGAAATCTCCTTTTTCAAAGAGCCTGTAAATCCATTGACGATGGAAATACAACTGGCACTTGGCATGATTCTTGGATACCTTATTTACAAAGTTTTAGGCCTATTTCACTAACATTTTCTGGTTTCATGTCAGTGAATTAACTCATTTACGTGAGTACCAAAAGTAGGGATGTCAACATCTTCAACTACTTATATGATAACCATGTTATTGAAATTCCATTCAAATCAAAATTGCTGAAACAGATGAAGAGGGCAAATGGATCTGGAGTCTTAACACTAATGGAAAATTTCCTGTCAAAAGTGAAGAAGGCATTTCTGTCAATTGGAAAGCTCTATGACATGCTAAATTATGGAAATGCATAAAGTGATGAATGCTTGCCAGGCCTGGAATACTGATAATCAAAATCCATCTTTTATAAAGAAAAAGATGTAAGCTGCAAAGGCAGCAAGACATATCCTTCCCTACTCCCTGATCTAGCATAGATTCAATTACCTGGTTTCTACACATTGAAGAAACCAAGAAACTCCATTCTCTTATTGATCCTATAGACCCCAAAATGTGTAGCATGAAGATGTAAAGGATCATATATCTTTGACCAGTTCCTAAGACCAGTTTCCAAAAACCCAATCCCAATTAAGCTGACTACAAACCTAGCTTCTACATAGTGAAAATAATCAAGGATAAACTAACCCAACATAAAACTATAAATGTACCGCTCCCATGGTATCCAAATTTACCGAGGAGAAAAGCTTAAAAAGAACACATAAATCAATCCATAAAACCATGCTGGTACAGCATAAACTAACAGATAGGAGTATGACAAGGTTAGCAAATAGCTGAGCGAGACATCCAAAGGGGCAGCTGGGACTACATGATTCTGTTTTTGAAGAAAAAAACCATCAAACAAACAAACCCTAACTTCTGGCCTCAAGACTTGCCTCTCTCGTGAAATTAACGTATTGTCTTCAAATGGTACAAACTTTTTTGTTTTTAAAAGCTTCAAAACTGCTTTCTTTTGTTTCTGAACAGGGTATCTCTTTTCACATAAACATAAAAGAGAGCAAAGAAACCTACTGCAGATACTGATACTGAAGTCCATGGAAAAGGTGGATCCTTGAAACATTTAAGTGTTGCCTCGATTTCTTGGGTTGCATGGTAAACAACAGAGTGCATAGCATAAAGATCATGATCAGAGGACCTCAAGAAATATAATGCCATCTCAAAATCAAAATGTGATAATGCAGAGACAGCTTTGTCCAGCTTGTACTTGAACAAGTTCCACCTCTGTACAAACTCAACACGTCTATTCTGTTTAAGGAGATTTCTATCCCCGCCATGAACAGCTATAGATTCAAGAATATCAATAGCACTTGAAATACTGTAATTCAAAGACGTCAGGAGAACATTTCTCCGAGCTGCATCCTTTTGTACAAAAGACATTGTCAAGCTTTCTGAGAATGGCCCAAATGGTGTCTGCCCGACACTCCATGTGTAATCCACCAAAGTACTATTATGCCTCGGGCTCCAGGACAAATGGGTAGGGGATACACCCCACATACTCTGTAAAATCGAACCAACAAGTGGTCTCTCGAGCTCCCTTGTATGCAGAAACACATGATGACCATTACAGCTATAATCACTCACAGTCTGTGAACTCTTTGTCCTCACAGCAATAACCATATCTCTAAAGGCAACAGATTGATGATACCTATCAAGCAACAACTGCGTGTTAAAATCCAAATCAAACACGTACACAGGAATCACCCTACCAAAATCCTCCTCAGGGATTCCTGCCAACCGCCTAAACTCCTCGGCAGACTCAGTTAAGGTCTGGTGCAAACGCTTGGAGTCCAAATACTCACTCACAATCAAAGTATAGTTATCAAACAAGAACCTAGAAGTAAACGAACTAAGGGAGCGGGAAATGGCGAAGGAACAAATCGGGCATTCCTTATAATTCAGACTGTAAGTCTTGAACCTCAAAGACTGATCCCCCAGCAACAGACCACCATCATCAACCTCATCTCTAAATGTCCTTTCAATCAAATTCCAATCCAAACCACTGGAGTCCTTGCTATCTGACCCGTAAACATGTATAAACTGAACAATCAAAGAATTCTCGAAATACACAGGGATTCTCAAAGAAGGAACCACGAGTACCTGATAAGCACTCCAAACCAGCGATGCCAAATCAGCGAGCAAGGCCTTCTGGGACTTCGGTCTTCCGTGCAAAGCCGCCAAGGGGTGAAACTCTCCTCTTGGAAGGACTCCATCGCCCGATAAGGCCGGCCCGTAATCCACGGGCCCTGCAGCTAGGTCAATCCAGACATACCTCTCCTTGCCGGTCCAGATGGTCCCCAAGCATTTGGTGAAGCCAGGGGAGGATTCTCCGTGACCATAGCTGTAAGCATAGGGTTTGGATTGGGAACCCAAAGAGATCAAGTAGACATAGAGCCCCTGAGTGGGTTTATCCTTTTCGAAGTCCTGGCGAATGATTTCATCGATAGCATGGTAAGCGACGGAGATGAGAGGGGAGCGCAGAGAGGAAGCGGTAGCGGCAATTTGGGACTTGAGGGTATCGGAGAGGAGAGAGACGAGGGAGGGAGAAGAGGGAGAAACGTCGAGATGGAGAGAATGCTTGATGGCCAGCCGGTGATAGGGATCGGATGAGATATGGAAATGATCAGATGATTGAGAGGCCGAAAGGAAGGAGGAGAGGAGGGAGGATGAATCAGGGGGGAAGGAAGTGCCGACAAGGCGAATGCGGAGGGAGAAAGAGAGGGAAAGGGAGAGGAGAGAGGGGAGGAGAGAAGGAAAACGGAGAGGAGAAGAGGATGAAAGAGAATTCTTGAGAGAGGAGGAGAGGGAGAGGAAGGAATCGTTGGAGGCCTGAGGATCAAGACGGGATTGGTGATTGAGGAAGGTGTCAAGGCCAAGAATTGGGGCTGAGGTGGATGTGTTGACGAAGAGAAGGAGAAAGAAGAGAGTGAGAGTCTGGATGAGCATTTTGGGGGATTAGGGTTTGTAGCAGCAGATGCTGCCTGCAACGGAGAAGACAGTGAAGTGAGTGATTATGGACTAATCCCGTAAAAATTACAGGATACATATAGTTGATCGGATTTCACATCGTTTGGAGTTAGACATGAAAATGGGATACAAAAACTCAACGGGAAATGTGAAAATGGAATTTGAGATCAACAGAAGAAGAAAAAGACCTGAGAAATCATAAAGTCACTGCAGGAAGAGAGTTTGGGGCTTTCAGCATTTTGATCTGCTTGTATAATAATAATATTTCTATCAAAATGTTAAATTATTTAATTTACTAATTTATTTTAAATTTAAATTAGATTTATAGAATATAATTTTTATAGTTATAATATAAATATTATTTTATATGAATAAATTTATATGAAAAATAAATAAATTTTTAATAAAAATTTTAAAAAAAATTATGACAGATCTTAGGACGAATGAGATGTGAAAAAAAATATATGATTAAGAATTTATATAATGTATAATAACAAAGTTTGTAATTAATTAAAAATAATTTGAATAAAAATGTAATTGTATTCACATTCTAATTCTAAATTTATATTTAAATATATAATATATAATTATTATATTAAATAAATAGATATTTAGCACTTACATTCTAAACATTAGATTTATATTAATATAGTTAAAATTTATTTTTATACTAAAATATCTCAATATCCCATTTTAGTTATATATATATATATAGATAGAGTATATTATCTCTAAAACGATTTGTCATAAATATACCAAATAAATTAAATTCATAATTTAAAATAAAAAATACCAGAATATTATACTAACATAAATACAAGAATATTAAATTAAATAGTTATTGGTTTGTCCACAAAAATTAGTCTTTATTTAAAATTTTTAATTTTAAATAAAAATTTTGTAGTCTAAAACTGATATTAGTGAGTGCAAATATAACATTTAAGTAGTATGTTTGATACTTTTTTGTAACGACCCCGGAAATTTAAAATGAAATATGTGTATTAAAAATGTCAAATGCGGAAGCGAAGTCAAAATTTCGATTAACATCCCTTACACTAAAACAAAAAACGTGCTCAAAATATAAAAAATCAAACTAACTAAAAGAGAAACTAGAAAGTAAAATCTATGAATATGATTATGGAGTCTTTAGGCGTCCCCTTCGTCGTCTTCCTGCGGAACGGGCTCGGGAACAATGTCTTCCTGATCTGAAATGATTAAATAAGGAATGAGCTACACTAGCTCAGTAAAGACATCACGATATCTCACCGTCACGGAGGTAAATGTGGGTAGAAAATACAAAAAGACCAATTGTAACGCCCAAACATAGGTATTTTTGTAATTTTCTCATTAATTATTTTTATTAAGTTTATTTTTTAAAAAAAAAAAGAGCGCCACGTCAGCAGTCACGTCAGCAGGCCCAGTCAGCAGTCCTGGCCAACCAGGACCTGCCACGTGGCAAGACCACGTCGACCGGGGACGGGCTACGTTGACGATCCGCGTGCGCGCGATCGGACGGTCCAGATCAAGCTTGCGCACGAACGGCCCAGATGCAATCGCACGGACGGCCCAGATTCAATCAAAAACGGACAGCCCAGATTAAATCAAAATGGACGGCTGAGATCAAAAGACAAAAGGGTATAAATAGAACCCCAACACCTTACCACAAAAACCCTAGCCGTCTGCCCTCGCCGGAGAAGACGAACCAGACGCCGGAGAAGCCGGTCGCCACCACCCGCCGCCGCACCAGGGAGATTTTCGACCGCCGATCGAGTTAAATTTCATACCCCCGACTCGTTTTTCCACGCTGATTTCCTCTGTGGCCAAATCGGAGCCAAAATTCCTGCCAAACGGTCGGAAAACACGGCCAAAACCCAGCGGCGCCGCCGCGCCCCTCCTCGGGTTTTGCCTCTGATGAGGCCCTTCCCGGCCTCCATTTGATGCAATTTTTATATCACCATGATCACCATTCTTTTCTCTACAGGTTGATCGGAGCCGAATCACCAAAACACGAACCTCACCGGAGAGCCGCCGCACCCGAGAGCACCGCCGCCGGTAAGCTTCGGTTTTCCGTAATTTTTTGGCCCCACAAGGGCCCTAGGATTGTTTTATCGCAGGTACTGATGCAAGTGTGGCCGAATTCGGCCGGAAACGGCCAACCCGAGGTGAATCGCCGCCGCAAGCGGCGGCGCAGTCACCGAAGCACGGCGGAGCCGCCGTGCCGAAATTGCGATATGGGGCAAAAAGGGGCCCTGGGCCTAATTTGGGATTTTTTGGAACACGTGCAGGTACCGGTAGTGCGTTTCAGTTCCTCGGAAAAAATTCAGGAAAAATTAGGGACAGCCTGTAGGCGCACTGTGAAGCCGTATTCGGACCCCGAAACGAGTAAGGACCCCGCACCCTATTTTCTATCACGGTATTAAAGTTCAATAATGATAAAACGGTATTTCTTGAATCAACGAATGTGTGAAATTGTTTAAAGTCGCTAATGGAGCCCGAGTCTAGTGTGTTTGTCGGTTAACTGTTATTTGACCTATTTTACAGTTTTAAATGCAGTATGAGGTTTGATGTTTTCATTTCATAGTTTCGTGTGCATATTTTACTGTTTTATTGATTATGGGTTGAATGACTGAGA